TGGCAGTTTGAGCCTACTAGCAACTTTAAGGGAGAAAGATGAGTTATTTTTCCCCATGCTATTTACACCTCAGGGGCCCAAGGGAGAGTCAGCTATAAGTCAGTTCCAAATTCACAACCAGGAGCTAAGTTGAATTGATGAAACAGTAGAAAATATCATGGCTAAGTACAGTACACCTTTGTTTTTTTAAAAAAAAAGTGACATTTTAGTCTTTTACCACCTTAAATTAGTTCTTTGCAGTAAATTTGCCTAATGCAATAAATCGCTCAAGTTTTTTACTTTTGATGGCATAGGCTTTGACTGTAGATTGGAAAAAAAAGTTAATTCAATAGGAAAATCTTAAAGAATTTCTACTTTAAAGACCTTAACTTTGGGAGGAGATTGGGCTTGTCAGCTATATCTTCAATGGCTACAAGGAGAGATCAATTTTGCTTGAAGAAAAGAATTAAAAGTGACAGACTCAAAAGTAGTCTGATGAATCAGAAAAGGAACTGGTAGAAATAAGTGCAAATAAACACGACACACCTTACAAATAAATATAGGCAAACAATGTAATAGTCATTGTTGAGAATCTGGTTTTGGTTGTGTGATTGCTAGGAAAAAAATAGTAGGCAAATTTGATCTTTCAATATCTTAATATTAGATCATATTAGAAATCATTAGATTTGGGTTCAAATAACTCAAATTAAAGGATATTTGTAACAGGATACTTTCTTTTCCCATACTTTTTCTTTGTTAAATAACCAGTCAAACAGCCCAGTGTTATTCTATTCTTTATTCTATTTTCAGATCCTCAAAGGCAGTTCCTGATCCAAGCCATGGTCTTTTCAATTGATTCTTGTGCATCTAAATTTGGACAATAAATTAATGCCTTTGATTTGTGGGGTTAGGGAAGAATACTAAATAGTCCATAAACTACCTGAAAAAAAAAGTCAAACAAATCTAACTTGGAGGAAGTGCAGCCAGGCACTTAGAGGCAAGGTGGTAAAACTTGGTCCTACATATTTTGAGTATATTATCAGAAGGGACCTTGGAAAAAGACATCATGCTATAAAAAGGGAAGAAAAGGAAGCCTATAAACAAGATGGATTGACACAATGGCTGCAACAGTGGGCCCAAAGCTCTCTGAGGTCATGAGGATGGTCTGAAATCACAGGAAAAGGTTAAGATCTGTCATTCCTAAAGTTGCTATAAGTTGGAATTAACAAAAGAAAAACTAAGAACAAAACCAAGGTCATCACCTGCTCAGGTTATTGATACTTTCCAAGAAGTTTTCTCACCTACAAAAAATCTCTGGATGTCCGGTTGTGAGGAAGATGTTATCTGTTTTTGTCATTAGACTGAGGGTTTGCCACATGTTTGGGCAGGGATATGCAATTACCAAATGACACATGACAGTAAACAGATGCTGCCTTGGATGCACTCTCCAGATAATGCAAAGAAATCTGGAGGACAACTACACGGCAAATTGACTGGAAGAGATCACTTTTTTTCCCATTAAAAAAAAAAAAAGATGACCCAGAGAGCTCTGGTGGCCTAGTGGCAAGACACTGCACTGCAATCTTAGAGGTACTCCGTTCAAATCCACCAGATGCTCTGCTGGAGAAGGAGGGGGCAATCTCCTCCTGTACCAGTCAGATCTGATTTGATGGTACGTGTAAAAATAATGCAATACAATAAAAAAAAAAGATGACCCAAGAGAGTGTGGAAATTAGCAAACAGTATCACCCAAAAGGAAGATAATGCTGAAGATTATCCAAATATGACTGGAACAGTACATTAACCATGGTTGAGAAATTGGATTGAGGAATTGTATCCTGCTGCCAACTTGAATTATAGCCTGCTAAATTCCGTGATAAAGTCCATAATTGTAAACATGGTTCTGTGAAAACAGTGTAGTCCTTGAGATGGATTTTGGACCTGGTAGAGCAATAAGACTGGTGTTGGTATTAGTAGAAGTAGATGCAGGAGACTGAGATGCCATGCCTGACCTTATAGGAATTAGTTTTGTACTGTAGATATTGTTGATGAGGGAAATTCCTCTTTGTGGAGCAATTAGAAATCAGACCTAGCCATTCTACACTCATTTTACAATCACCGTTTTCCTATCTCCAAAGTAATATTTCCAAACCCATCTTGTTTACACACTTTTTTACATCAAGATATTTTTGTTTCACTATTCTGTGCTTCTCTACCACCAGCTTTGATAGGTTATTCTGTCTAGCCAGTCTAGATGTTGTTATGAAAGTGAATTAGATTTGACTAGCATTTACAATAAATGTCTTTGTATAGTCAATGAAACAGAGATTGATATCACCATGTTATGCTTTGTTTTCTGCCAAGATCCATCTGACATTGGTGATAATGTCTCTAGTGCCACACCTCGTCTACACCCAGCTTGTATTTCTGGTAGTTCTCTGTCAACATACTGTTCCAGTTGTTTCTGAATAATCTTCACTAGGATTTTGCTTGTGTGATATGAGTGATATTCTATGATAATTCACACTCTGTCTGGTCACCTTTTATTGGAATGGGAATAAATATAGATCTCTTCCAGTTAGTTGGCTAGTCAGTTGTCCTCCAGATTTCCTGGCACAAGCTGGTGAGCACATGCAGGGCAGCATCTGTTTGTTGAAATACGTGAATTGGTATTCCATCAGTTCCTGGAGCTTTATTCTTTTTTAATTTTTTTCTAATTTTATTTTATTATTTTTATGTGTACTGTCAAATAAGATCTAACAGGAGGTGATTGCCCCTCCTTTTCCAGCAGAGCATCTGGTGGATTCAAACTGAGTACTTCTGGGATTGTAGTGCAGCTTCTTGCTACAAGGCCATCAGAGGTCACAGGGCCTTTATTTTTTGTCAAGTCCTTCAAAACAGCCTAAACTTCCTTCTTCAACACTACTTCCTCTTGGTCATATATTGTTGCTCGAAATTCTTCTGTGTCAGGCAAATCTTTTTGGTACTGTGACTCTTATACTCCGATCTTCTCTTAATGCTTCCTGGGTCATTTAATATTTATCCCACAGGTTCCTTAAGTATTGCAACTCAAGACTTGTATTTGTTCTTTAGTTCATTTCTTCAGCATCAGAAATTCTGAGTGTGGTCAGCTTATTTTATTTTTGGATTCCAATTTTTTGTATATTTCATTATAATACTTTATTTTGTGTTCCTGTGCTGCCCTTTGAAATCTTATTGAGCTTCTTCACTTTTTTTATTTCTTCCATTTGCTTTGGCTTTTTGATGTTCTAAAGCAACGTTCAGAGTCTCCTCTGACATCACTTTTGGTCTGTGTGGATTACAAAAAATTGTGGTTAAGTTTGGAAGAACAGGAATACCAGAACACTTGATTGTGCTTAGGTAAAATCTATACTTGGAACAGGAAGCAGTCCTCAGAACAGAACAGAACAGGGAAGCACAGCATGGTTCAAAATCAGGAAGAGAGTGTGACAGGAATGTGTCCTGTCTCCATACCTTTTCAATCTATATGCAGAACAGATCATTCAGAAGGTTGGTCTTTATCAGGAGAAATGTGGCATCAGGATTCTAGGAAGATTCATCAACAATCTATGTTACAGAGATGACACAACCTCGCTTACTGAAACTGAGGGGGACATGAAGGGCTTGCTGCAGAAGGTCAAGAACTGTAGTCTTCAATATGGAGTGAAGCTCAACATTAAGAACACAAAGATTCTCACCACTGGGCCAATTGACAGCCCCATGATGGATGGAGAAGAGATTGTGGTTGTTAACAGTTATAGCTTGCTCGGCTCTATAATCAACACTTTTGGCACTAGCAGTCAGGAAATCAAAAGACAAATTTTATTAGGTAAATTTACTTTTAAGGACCCCTCCAGAGTACTGAGAAGCAATGATGTAAGTCTAGAGACTAAGGTGTACCTATTCAAGGCCATGATCTTCTCAGTTACGTGCTATGTATTGGAGACCTGAACAATGACTAAGGATGACATAAGAAAAATTGATACATTGGAGTTGTGGTGCTTGAGAAGAATCTTGAACATACCATCGACCACCAAGGAAACAAAAAAAACTCTGTCTTGGAGAGGGTGAAACCAAGTTTCTCCTTGAAGTCCATTTAACACATTTTGGGCATGTGTCAGGAGGTTCCAATCCTTAGAGAAGTATATCATGCTCGAAAGGTGAAGGGACAATGCAGGAGAGTAAGACACTAAATGAGATGGATTGATACAGTAACTAGGGCAATGGGGGTAAGTGTGTTGAAGCCAGAAAGACTGGCTCAAGACAGAACAGTTTTCAGAGCCATTGTACAGAGGGTCAACTATAAGTCACAGGTGATTCGACAGCACATAACAAGAACGACCACTACCACCCAACAGCATTTACAACAATAGGACTTCAAAATTACTTGAAGGTAACAAATGAAAAACCTGAACTTTTCCAAAGGGAAATTATGCCTTAAAATATATATAAACTGCTGAACTTCCCCCCCCCCCCAATCAGGCCAACAGTTTTTCAGATTCACTATTGTATGAGTTCCTAGCCCATTAAGTAATATTCCAATGTTAGAATTATTTACCGCCACAATCACATTAGAGGAGTAGAAGGCAATTAAAATGAGTTACAGTATGAAACACATGCTGGAGGAAGGCAAGAACATGGCAGAGTCTTTTCTACAAGATGTAAAATGTCTGAACAGCTGCATAAAGCAGTTGCTGGACAGAGATAGATATGGTCAAAATGAAGACATCCAGGACACTCCAGGAAGTGCCTGATTGTTACAACTAATAGGTTAGGCACTCTGATTCCAGAGCTAGTAGCTACAGAAAGTAAATTAGACTTCATTACATTACAAGTATATCTCATTTTATTATACCTAGCTTTATTGTGATTCCCAGATACTGACTTTTTAAAAAAATTGCATATGGAAGATTTTTGGAAACTTAGTAAGCAAGTCCACTAGTGCCATTTTCCTATCAAATTGGAAAAATGTTTCCATTGCTTTGTGCTGTTCGATTTGCTCAGAGGCGGGTGACTTGCAACTCTTTAGCCTGGTTCTCAATCTCTGTCGTGGTGGCTGTCTTTTCTTTAGCCCAGTCCTGGACCTCTGCTTTGCCAAAGATAAGGTAGATGATTAGGCCAAATACTTTAATAGCAGCTGAAAGAAAGAAGACATTTCTCCAACCTAGTTTTGAATCCTGGAAGCAGAAAAGAAGAAGTCATTAAGTGTTACACAGCCATTTTCCATCATAACTCAAAAAGCATTGCTCTTCCTCAAATTCCCTTCGGTCTGTTGGGACCTCCAGTTACTCCTAGGAATGCTAAAGACATTTCTGCCTTTAGGCTATTGCCCTCTCTAGTCCTTCTGCTGGAAAACTCTTCACTAAGATATTTGCTTTTTTCTAGTATTTGATTATGTGTTATTTTTTCAGAGAGATATTTCTACTACTGAACTTTTAAAACTCCCTCCTTTTTTTTTAATGTTTCCTGCTTATTTTTTCTTGCCATCAGCAGCCAGAATATTAAAAGACATATTGTATTGGGAAAATCTGCTGTCAGAGACCTTTCCAAAGTACTGAAGAGCAACAATGTCAGTTTGAAGACTAAGGTGTGCCTGATACAGGCCATGGGCTTTGCAATCACTTGGTGTGCACAAGAGAGCTGGACAGTGACCAGCAATGATAGAAGGAGCATTGGTGACTTTGAACTGAGGTGCTGGAGAAGAGTATTGAATATATCATGGACTGCTAAGAGAACAAACAAGTTCATCCTGGAGAGGGTGAAGCCAGGCTGCTCCTTAGAGGCAAGGATTCTGAAGCTTAGTCTGACATATTTTGGATATATTGCAAGGCAGTATCAATCTTTGGAGGGGACATCATGCTTGGGAGGGTGGAGGTACAGCACAGGAGAGGAAGACCCTTGATGAGATGGATTGATTCAGTGACTGAGGCAATGGGGGTATGTGTGTTTGAGACAGTGAGATTGGCACAGGATACAGCAGGGTTTAGGGCTGTTGTGCACAGGGTCACTATGAATTGCAGGTGACTCAACAGCACACAACAGCAACTCCTTTCTCTTCAGCAATTATTATCAACCGATATAAGATATAATTTGCTTATTTCATATGCTTCTTGATGGCTTCCCTTTTAGAAGCTTCACAAAGGCGATCACCTTAGTGTACTTGATTTCATTAATAAAGCTTGGTATAAACTAACTTATAGTATGTATCTGTTGAATGCATTAATGAATAGATGAATAAAAGAAATGGAGGATAATGGCAGTTTGAGGAAATACATACTATCATCTTATATCCTGCTAAGAATGTAGAGTGGTTGTTATAAGAGTACTGAAACGTCTAAAATGAGAGACCATTTCACAGCAAAAGGATGACCTTTCCTGTATTTTTTTTTATATTCTTGGAATAAATATGTTGTCATCTAGTCAATTCTGACTCTAAGTAACCTTATAGGGCAGAGTAGACTTGCGCCAAAATGTCTCCAAGGCTGTAATTTTTATGGAAAGATTGTCATATTTTTTTCTTCTTAGAATGAATTGCCATTCACTTTACAGTCAAATATTTTAACTACTTTATCATATTCCTGACTTACTGGTAGAAAACTCCTAAAATTAGAAGCACTAAAATTATTTTAGTGTCTTACATAATTTTCTTTTTCTTTTTTTATCATTTTTTAATTAATTTTAATGAAAATTTACAGAGACTTTGGACTTCCATTCACAATTTTCTTGATGTACTCTGTATGAGTTAGATTATTTATCATCCAAATGGTCAGTTCTCTTTCTTTTTTTCCTCTAGTAGATGCAGCTTCGTGATAGATTCACTCTCAGCAAGTCTCAATAAATACATAGCTGACCCTCCAGGGGGTTTTCAATAAACTATAAATTATACTGGAGAAGATTGCCAAACCTTCTTTCATGGAGCCTTTGGTGAATTTGGACCACTGAAGAGGTGACACGTTTGGGTTAGTAACACAACTCCCTAAGAACTATGCCACCAGAAATCCCTTTCTGATAGAAAGCTCTGTTAGTGTAGAACACATCATAGAAGTCATACTGCAAATCAGGGTTTCTGCACTAATAATTCACAACCATAAGTGGATGGACTATGTCTTCTCATGCAGATAACTGCCTCAGAAAATCCACCAGAGGGTTAACTATGAGTCAGTAACAACTCTATTGTACACAAACAACACCATAGTAGCTCATTTATTATTCACTGGAACATAAAAAAGCAGAGTACCACAAAGATGTCTATCTTTGTTTCATTGACTGCAAATGCATTTAACTGTGTAGATTACAACAAATTGTAGTTAAACTTGAGGAGAATAAGAATCCCAAAACACTTGATTGTGCTTAAGAGAAACCTATTCTTGGAACAGAAAGCAGTCCTCAGAATAGAGCAGGGAAACAAGGCATGATTCAAAATCAGGAAGAGAGTGTGTCAGGGATGTGTCCTGTCTTTATACCTCTTCAAACTGTATTCAGAACAGATTATTCTGGAGGCTGGGCTTTATGAGTAGAAATGTGCCATCAGGATTGGAAGAAGACTCATCAACAACCTATGTTATGCAGATGACACAACCTTCCTTGCTAAAACTGAAGAGGACCTGAAGGGCTTGCTGCAGAAGGTCAAGGACTGTAGTTTTCTATATGGATTGACACTCAACATCAGGAAGACAAAGATTCACACCACTGGGCCAATTGAAAGCACCATGATAGAGGGAGAAGAAATTGAGATTGATAACACTTATAGCTTGCTCAGCTTCATAATCAACACCCTTGGCATCATCAGTCAGAAAATCAAAAGACAAATTGTATTAGGTAAATCTGCCATTAGGGACCTCTTCAGAGTACTGCAAAGTAACAGTGTCAGTCTAGAGCCTAAGGTGTTCGTTATTCAGGCCATTCTCTTCACAATTATTTGCTATGCATCAGAGAGCTCAACAATGACTAACGATGACAGAAGAGAAATTGATGCTTTTGAGTTGCAGTGCTGGAGAAGACTCCTGAACATGCCAAGGACCACCAAGAAAACAAATGGGTCTGTCTTGGAGAGGTTGAAACAGCTAGGATTTTGAAGTTCTATTTCACATACTCTGGACAAATGGCCAGGAAGGAAGACCCTTGCAGAAGGACATCATGCTTGGATGGGTGGAGGGACAGCACAGGAGAGGAAGACCACGGGTAAGATGAATTGATACAGTAACTAGGGCAATGGGGAGAATTGTATTGGAATCAGTGAGACTGACCTAGGACAGGGCAGGCTTAAGAGCTGTTGCACATAGTGTTACTATGAGATGCAGGTGACTTGACAGCACATAAAAACAACAATATATGTTGTCTTCCTACGTACTAATCTATGTAAGTTACACAATTTTGCCCCAAAATTTAAAGGTCTTAACACTAATAGTTTGCATCTGATAAATAACAAAACAATAAAGAATAGTTGGCCATGCTATTCTATGGAAAAATTTTCAAAACTTGTATGAAGTTGATTCTTACTGTGAGAAAATCATCTTGTAAGTGTTCAGAAAATATAAAATTCTGAGCACTCCTCTCTTAATACCTGAAATATGGTTGCCTTCTATAAAGCAAACATGTACTCTGAGTTTTTTCTTAAGAATATTTCCTTAGTTCGTAGTTGCTGTGGGCCATACTCGACTTGAAGACACCTAACATCAACAAATAACATGGTTTTATCAATAATAACTCACGCTGCATGTCTTTATTAAAACTTGTCATTCTGTATCCCAAAAAAAAGAAGAATATTTCCTTAAGAATTATGACTAACCTTTTGGAGGATAAATCCTGTAGTAATAGAGGAACCGATTCCAGCTGCAGAGGAAAAAACTTCTGATAATCCTTTGAGAAAGGATGTGTACCTTGGGAAAAAAGAGATGGAGAGATATGTCATCTTAGTTGGAATAATTCAACTCTGTGCCTATCACTAAGTAGGTTGAGACTATGGTGATTGTTGGAAAAATCTGAAAGAAATGGAATAAGTAATCATCAACATATTCCTAAACGGAGGTCTAAAAATTTTGAGGGGTAAATATTGCACAATTGACAAAATGGTGTATAGAAAATATACAGGTAATGATTTGTACATTATTTATATTTTTACTTGGTTTCTGCTTTGGTCTTCTTTTGAACACAAAGGCCATTATCAAATGAGATAATAGTTCCTGATCCTGCATATCCTGACATTTCACAATCTGAAGCTATAGAACACTTTATGGGGCTGAATTAGATAATTATGTGTAGAAGCCTCAGTAATTTCTAATCTAATATTCACTTTTTTTTTTACTGTGGAGTATCCTTTTCTTTATTAAAATCTTATACCCTTATATTCTTATACTACATACCATGGAATCCCCAAAGTCATATCAATTATTCAAACTTGTTACTGTTAAATTCCACAAGACAGAAGCATCTGTGGTATTCTCCTCTGTTGAGTTATGATCAAGGAACTGATCACTCTTCATTTCTAACATTTTTTAGGTGTACCATCGAGTCAGAATTAATCAACATCTGATCCTCTAGTAGGTTTTCAGTGACACTCAATTGCACAGGTTAAGATTTCTCATCTTCCTTCTTTGGAGCAACTGGTGGATTTGAACAACATGCCCCTACATTGGCAACAAAACTCTACCACTAAGGTACCAGCACTCCCTACTAAGCAAACTAAGTACACAACTATTGGCCAAACTTGGGTTCCTTATGTTAATGCTTTGTATGTAAGGCTAGCATTGACATTTCTCATGAACATATCACAATTTAGCTGTGTGTAAGAGCAGATTTAGGACTCATTAAACTGAAAGGGGCTTCTGTGAGGATAAGACAAAGTTATTCCTACCTAGGAGCAATATCCATAAAATTGACCAAGGATCCTGAGTTAGAGAAGTTGTTTATGCTAGCTCTCACAACTAAGATGGCCACAGAGGTACTGGGGCTGGATTTGACCCAGTGGAGGGACATTAACAATGAGGATGATATGAGAACTCCTGTGGGGAAGATAGATACAGATTAACTGGGTAACTTTTCTAAGTGTTTCATATTTACTTTTGTAGCTTATTTCTTACCTATGGAAGTGAAGAGTTTTCTTACAGTGATAACTTTGAAAATTTTTCTAGAAATGAGAAAATCTGCTAGAAGACCTTCTAGGATTGTGCTGATGAAGGCAAATACAGCTGGCAAGGCAGACAGGACTCCACTCTAAGAATAAAAGATGTAATTAGGAACAGACTCTGCCCTTTTCCACTCATTATGACCCAGATGGATATCTGGGTTAATTGTCCGGTACTATGAACGTTTGTTTGCTCTATATTCTTTACAATCTGTATAAATTATTACCATTGAAATAAATCAATATAATTTTAGTGCCTTGTAAAGAATATACACTGGGATTTTTTTAAGAATAAGTGTTTTTTCCTATATAGAGATCAGCTGGAAATATGTATTGAACTATTATGTTAAAAATACAAAAGTGTCTCAACAATTCACAGAAAAGAAAAATAAGTGTTTGCTAGATATATTGAAAGGTAATCAAACTTACTTTTAACACTATGTTGTTGTTGTTGTGTGCTATTATATAAACTACATATGAATAATATATCAAAACTGTGCCCTTCTCTTCTCCACTTACCTATTTTCTACCTTGTTTAAGCCCATTTTGCAATCACTTTGTAATTCTTGTTGAAGTTCTTTCTCTTGTACTAACCTTATACTTTTCACAACATGATGTCTTTTTCCACAGACTGATGACTCCTAACAAACATGCCCAAAATATGTGAGAAAAAGTTTCACCCTCCTTGCCTTTAAGTGTTAACATGATTGTACTTCTTCCAAGACAGATTTGTTAGTTCTTTTCGGAGTTAATGGGTTATTCAATACTCTTCACCGTCACTAGAATTCAAAGATATTAATTCTTCCTTATTACTATCTGGCTTACACACACATTTAAAACAATTAAAAATATCATGGCTATTGGGTAAGCATGTCTTAGACTATAAAGTGACATCTTTGTTCTTTAGAGCTTTAAGGGACTTCTTCATAGCAAATTTTCCCAATGTGGTACAGTTTTTGGTATCTTGATTTCTGCTATCACAGATGTTTAATATGGATCCAAAGAAAACAATTTTTTTAAACTTCTTATCTTACCTCCATCTATCATAATGTTGCATTTTGGTCTAGTTGTGAATATTTTGGGTTGGATTTTATATTTATATAAGTCTTTGTTCTTCTTTAGTAATACCAAGAGGTGAATATGAGGAGACAAAGACCAAAGATAACCAACATATTGGAAATACAGAAGTATACCATTTTTATGAAATAGGTTTCCCAATTTCTATATTTTAAGGACCTAGATAAAATGAGAATGCCTAAGGAAATACAATTCAGACAAACTATTGCCTCCTCTGAGGATTTCACAACTACTCTTATTACTAAATTCATAATCTACAGCAATGAAAAGTTTTTTTATGGTGATAAAGATGAGAATTATTCAGAAATGAAGACAATCTGTGTAATGCAGATTATTGATAAATCTTCCTCCAATCCTGATGCCACATTCCTCCTCATACAGCCCAGCCTTCTGGATGACCGGTTCTGCATGAAGATAGGGAGATAGGATACACCTCTGGTGGACACCCACTCAAATTTTAAACCATGCAGTGTCTCCTTCCTCTGCTCTGATGACTACCTTTTGGTTCAAGTGTAGGTTTTGTATAAGCACAATAAAATGTTTTGGGATTCCCAAAGGAAGAAATGCTGAACAGAAAATATCAAAGGGAAGCTCAGGATGACAAAGGAAGGTACTGTAATGAAATGTGCAAAGAGATGAAGGCAGAAAATCAAAAGGGCTGAACTCACTCGGCATTTCTTAAGCTAAAAGAATTGAAAAACAAATTCAAGCCATTAGTGGCAATACTTAAGAATGCTTTGGGCAGAATGTTAAATGATCCAAGAAGCATTAAAAGAAGATGACTGACACAGAAAAATTTAATGAAAGAACATATGAGCAAGAACCTTGGCTAATGAAGGAGGAACCCCAAGTTGCTCTGAAAGAATTTGCAAAAAACAAAGCTCCAGGAGTTGACGGCATACCAATTGACATATTTCAACAAACAGACACTGCCCTGGATGTGCTCACTAAGTTGTGCCAAGAAATCTGGAGAACAGCCACCTGGCCAACTGACTGGAAGAGATTGATATTTGTTCCCATTCCAAATAAAGTTGACCCGGCAGAGTGTGGAAATTATCGAACAATATCATTAATATCTCATACAAGTCAAATTCTGCTGAAAATTATCTAAAAACGACAAGAGCAACACATCAACAGAGAAGTGTCAGATGTGTAGGCTGAGTGTAGAAGAGGCCGTGGTACTAAGGATATTATAGCTAATGTTAGATGAATTTTGGCAGAAAGCAGAAAGTGGCTCCTTGACAATACAGAGGCTTTTGACTGTATGGATCACAACAAACAGTAGTACCAAATGATAGACCAGCTAAATACAGAAAATAACTGTTATCAGAATTGAAGAAAGAATTACACAGCACCACATTCGTTGTAGGATATTTTAACCCAACACTCACCAAAAGTTAGGCCAATTCAAGAAAAATTTACAAAAATGCCTAAGATCTAAACTACGCATTCAGCCACCTTGAACTTGTGGCTGTATTCCGAGCAGTGCACCCAACTATAACTCAGTTCACTTTCTTCCCAAGGGCACATGAAACATATATATCAGGGCACAAAAAAAGCCTCTACAAATTTAAAAACATTGAAATAAAACAAAATATCTTCTCATACCACAGTGCCATAAAACTAGAAATTAACTACAAGAGGATAGAGCTTATAAAGTCACCAACGTGCAAGTTAAAGAATACCCTACTAGAATATGATTAGGTTATAGAAGATAGAGAAGCTGTGGTTTATACACACAATGAAATACTACACTGCATTGAAAAACACAGAACTCATGCAATATTATTCAAAGTGGGTGACCCTGGAGGACATTATGCTGAGTGAAATATCTCAGTCACAAAGGGACAAATACTGCATGGTGCCACTGTTGTAGAATGGGTCTGATATCAGGGTGGGGGTATGACAGAAAAAACTGGATAAATTATGTATATTGTATTGAAACAGATGAGGGAAAGAACAGATTAGA